AGGAAGCAAGAGCGATAGGACGGACTCGATGGTCTGCCCGCCGGCCGAGCCTATAAAGTCGGAGTGGTGGTCGAAGTGCAGCACTCTCAGCCGCGGCGGCGGCGAGTTCTCATCGCCGGTGCCGGTGGTGGCGGCCGTGGAGGAGGAGGAAGAGTCACACAGCGGCGAGAGAATCCTCTGCCGTAGCTCGGCCAGCTTCGCTGGAGCATTTCTTCCCTTCCAGCCCTGGCACATCCTGGTCAGCACTTCATCCAGCCTGTTGGCCAACACAAAGCAAGCCGTCAGGCTCAGCGCATCAGCACACCTGCGAGGAAAAGAAGAGCGGCTGAACCTGAGTTGCTGGAGCTGGGCGTGGGCGCTCGACGAGACGAGGCGCGCGGCCCAATCAAAGTCGCTCGCGCCCTCGACGGAGCTGTTTTTGTTATCGGTGAGCTGCAGCGGCGGCGCCCCCAGGTTCGCGATGAGCCAGGCCTGCAGGTCCGACACGAAATCGAGCGGAGGCAGGCGCACGATCATGTCCACGGCGAGCCGCAGTGAGTGACACGTGGCCCGGAGAGCCAGCGCCGAGCTCATGCGCGATCGGAGCGTGCGCTGCCCGTACTGGTCCACGTCATCGTATCTGTGTGCGAAGGTGGTGCGTGTGTAAGGGACAGAAAGAGCTTTGGGAGAGGGGGGGGGTATGGTACAGGGTGCTTGCCGCCGTGGCATGCCAGCCGCCGAGTCCGCCGAGAGCGCTGTTGAGGCTGCGCTTGTGGCTGGGCACGCCGGCTTGTGGAATCCGCCCTGGCTTATAAGCAGCACACATGTGTTGCGTCTGAGCATTCTATTCTTCACCCTAACCCTGCCGTGCACTACAGTGACTGACTGGGGGGCTTGCGTACCGTGCGCATCGGAGCTGGGGAGCAGATAGTCGATGAGGCGGACCAGCACTAAGTCGGGCAGCCACAACATACAACTGTCATCTTCTCCCATCTTGCGTTGGGCTGCTTCTACGTTCATTTTTATTTATTTAAAATTCGGCCTTATCTCTATTTTCTTTTATGCATTTTAGTGAAATTTTGATCACGCTTGGCTCTAGACGCCTGTGTAGTCTTCGTAGTCTTCTTCTTCATGGTCGTCATCATCGTCGTCTTCATCTTCGAGTGCCGTGGAGGCCTCGCCGATGAGGTCGTCGAGCAGGTCGACGACGGCCTCCATCGTTGGTCGCTTGTCGGCGTCGTCGTGCCAGCACTTGCGGATCATCTTCTTGATCTCGCGCGGGCAGTCGCTCGGGATCACCGGCCGCCGGCCCTCGAGCACGTCGAGCGACACGCCCATGAAGTTGCGCCCGGCGAACGGCTGCTTCCTCGTCACCACCTCCCACATCACCACACCGAAGCTGAACAATAAAATATGGTCAGCCTCGTGTGTCGTGTGTGTCGTGTATGTCGTGTGTGTTGTGCGTGTCGTGCGTGTCCGGGTACCTGTAAACGTCGACTTTCTCGCTGTAGCGCTGGCCGCGGATGATCTCGGGGGCGGTCCAGCAGGGCGTGCCGCAGCGGGTCATGGTGACGTTGTCCTGCTTGATACGCGCGAACCCGAAGTCGGCCACCTTCACGTTCCAGTTCTCGTCCACCAGCAGGTTGGAGGGCTTCAGATCGCGGTGCACGATGCACGGCTGGAGCGAGTGCAGGTAGTTGATCCCCACCGCGGCGCTGCGCAGCATCTTGAGCCGCCGCTTCCACTCGAGCTTGATCGAGGTGTCGGGCAGAATCTCTGCCAGGCTCCCCGTCGACACAAACTCGGTCACGATGCACATATTTGGTCGTCGCACGCAGGCCCCTGCTCACCTCAATGTCATCAGTTGATCGTTGGTCGTGTCGTGTCGTGTCGTGTGTCGTTGCTTGTGTACCGATGAATAGGACGATGTTGGGATGGTGCAGCTCGGAGAGGAATGCCATCTCTGCGCGGAACTCGAGCAAGCGGCGCTCGTCGAGCTTCTGGTTGATGAACCGCTTCACCGCCACCTCGACGCCCTTCCACTTGCCCCGGTGGACCACGCCGTAGGACCCGATGCCGATCTGCCGGCCCAAGGCGATCTCGTTGAAGTCGATGACCCACCGGCACAGGTTGGCCGACGTGAGGAAGCTGTCTTCCTTGAACTTCAGGCCTTCGCCCACCACCGTGTTCAGCGTCTCGACGTCCGTGCACCGCTCTCCTCGGTCG